CTGGGCTCCTGCACTGGCTTACAGAGGAGCAGACGCTCGAATGCTCCACGGCACAGGACCATGGCTCAATCCTGCACTGAGCCAGCATCAGGACTGGGCTTGGGACTGCTGCCGCGAGATGGGAAAGGCGAGGGGGTGGGTAAGAAGAGGACAGGTATTTTGTTCCGCTGCGGGAGAGTCCCGTGAACCTCCTCAAGGCTCTGCCGCCTGTCCCTGTGCAGCGCTGCAAGAACCCCGAGCGCTTCGGTGCAGCTCTCCCCACCCTGGACACCCCATTGTAGGCTTCAGCTGCACCCGGATTTAAGACCTGGTATTTTTGTGGGCAGCTGTGCCTGTTGTGAGAGCAGTTTAATTGCTTTTTATCACTGTTCTTAAATTATGCAAAGAAGTAAAATAATTCCAGGTAGTTGTGGTGTAATTCGGAACGCAGCCGTGCCTCTCACGCCCTGTGTGTGCACAGACGATGGGGCAGGTGAGCCGACACTTGGGGACGTGTGTGTAGAGGCCCCGTACAGTCACGGTCGATCTGCAGGTTGCTGCCAGGGCTGAAGCAGCCAGTGCCAGAGCAGGATGAGTTTAATCCCCTCAGCACAAGCAGCAAAGCTGAAATATTCACAGTGCTGAACCCTGGGTGATGGGGAGGTGATGGCAGGTGCCTGCCGTCACGCGGCAGTGTGCTCCCGGGCACGGCAGTTCTCCTGCTCCTGCTGCCGCCGGGTCAGCACGGGTCCCCCCGTGCCGGGAGGAGCAGAAGGGGCCAGGGGTTTCCGTGTGAGAGTGCGAGGAAGGGACGCACGGAGGGGGCGAGGAGCTGGGTCACAACTGGGTACAACAGGTTGGGGATCTGTGTCGTTCGTGGGCTCGCCATTCCCGCCCGTGCAGCACGCCTGCAGGCAGTGTGTGCCCAAAACCGATCGCTTGTTCAAACTCACTGGGGTTTGTGCGCCCAAAAAGAAAAGGAAAAGCAAGAGAGCATTTTCTTTCTGTGGTTCTCTCTCTGCTCGTTAATCCCCCAGCACGCAGTCACGGCCACGCAAACGCAGCATCTCGGAGCTGAGCGAGCTCCCCGCTCCTTCCCCACCGCTCCTGCCTTGTCCCCTCCCTTGCCACAAACCCTGGGCCAAGCGAGCAGCACCGGCCCCAGACCAGATGGAACGGCTCAGTCTCGGGCAGGACACGCAAGCACCGACCCAATCTTAGCGGTGCCCTCCCCAGCAGCACATGTCACCTGCCCTGTCCCCCTCTGTCCCTGTGCAGCCTCCTGCCCCCTGCCTGCTGCACCCCCTCCCCGGCCGGTACCGTGAGCTGCCCAGCTCCATCGCTCTGCACCCGCCTCTGCTGCACCGTGGCTCCAGCGCATCTCTTAGGATGCCTTTCTCGCCCACCCACCACAAAATCAGATTTATTGGGTGCCTTTTTCACTATTTGCCTTTAATATTTTCACGTGTTTTGCCCGCTCGTGCCGTTCTGTGCTAGTTTGTGTTTCCCGACCTCTTCTTCACCGATTTCAAGTTGCCGCTGCTGGAAAATAAAGTGAGGGCAGCGAGTTTTGGCCTTTAATCTGAAGGCTACGAGATTGCTGGGGGGCAATTTAAATTGCTTAGGAGTGTATGCACATAGGTGCTCACCTGCTGCTGGCATATGTGCTCCAGCTCCACTGAAAGATACATGTGTGTGCACATAGGCAATGTGTTTTATCCCTTTGGTGATATTTTATTCTATTTATTTGTATTAAAAATAACTCCCTTCCTGTTAAGAGAAAATGACACCAAGAAACGGCACCAGTCTGGGGTGTGAAACGATACTGGCTTCCCCTGCCTCTCAAATCCCTGCTCTGCAGCCCCAGTGAGGTCTTTATGCAGACAAACACTTCAACATAGGAAGTTAAATTCCCATTACTTTCAGGTGCTTAAAATTAGGCACATTTTCAGTGCTTGGGTGATCTGACTTATGATCTGTGTTTTGTGAGGATGATGCTTTTCTAGGACTACTGTGTATGGAAAGCCGTCCCCTGAAATGGGGGACTTTCCCATTTCTAAATTAGGTTCTTAACATTAGGGACCTGCAAGGGAAAAATACGTGTATTTTTTTATGAAGCGAGGTTGTTATTAGTGTTGCCTGAAGCAGCTGCTCCGGTGTGAGAGCATCCATCTTCCCAGCCACAGCTGCTGCGCACGGGGAGGCTGGAATGGCATTTTCCGGCTGCCTGGCTCCGGCGCCCCCGCAGCG